AGGGAAAAATTCCTTCCCCCATCTGCTGAGTCACACTTTTTCTCTTGTGCTGGCTATTATGTTTAAGTGACACTTTTAAAATTAAAGTGATTGGATGAGTTATACAGAAGACTATTTTAACATGCCATACAAAGTTCTTCACAGCTGGAAAAGAAACAGTAATGTGTACTATTGAGCACAAAAGTTTTATATTGCATAGTATAACTATAATATAAAATCCAGTCTGTAACTCAGCTTACCCTTGTACTATGTGTACTTCCTTACTATAGAAGGATGGGAAAGAGGTTTACCAAGCTGTGAAGGTGAACACAGCACTCTGACCCCTACTGTGGGTTTTAAATTTGTTGGTTGTATAGTACAATGAAGTGTTAGTCTTACGTAAGATGTTATGATTTGTTACTTCCATTCCATGGTCCGAAATTTATCTGAATAAAATTTTTATGCTGACTTTGTGTTCTTGTTCTTCTTCCTAAGATGCTTCTGTGTGAACTGACAACTGAGCCTCTCCACCTGTCCTATCTTTCCACAACTTGTCCTTGCTTTCTTCGCGTGGTCTTCCTTTGCATTGAGTTACATCTTTCTGAACTTTCTGTTCCTGTCTTGATCTCAGTCTCTTTCATTGGTGGTTTTAACTTTTATGTTCAAAATTTCCTTTTGAATTCTTACTTCGTTCATGTCCATGCCATGTTTAATTCTGTTTGTTTGTTATCTTCCAAGGTGTTCAACTTTAGATTATCTCTCCATTTTTTATTCTATCACTTTTGGTCTTTCCTTCTGTATGTCTTGAAAACGCTGCTGTTAAGCTACTAATATCTTCTTTGGTCCATTTCCAAATTTCTGCTCCATGTATTAATATGGGAATGTATTATAGGATTTGTGGCTCCTGACATTTGAAGGCAGTCAGTAACAAGTCATTGTGATGCTGGTAGCTAGTGCTCGTATGGGGAATGCAGTTAGAAGTGTACACAAATATAGCAGAACAATGAGGGGCATGTATGTATATCTAAACAATAGGACTCTGAATATGTGCGTACTTACACATATAAAATACAAGCTTATAAACTAAACCTGCTGTTTTGTTTTACTCCAAGGGAACAGCTGAAGGAGTATTATCACCAACACCAGTAATGTCACTGTTGTCTTAGTCACTTTTGTTGTCTTTTTTCACTGTCTTGTAAATTTATACCGTTGGCTCTAAAATTTTGTCCCATCAGATTTATTTTACAAAAATCTTCCTCGTGCCAATTTTCTGCATGTCTTGTCCAGAAAGCGTAGTCTTCTTGTGTCTTCATTCATCAGTTTTTAACTTCTGCTATAGTGAATGTTTTATTTTACAACTTCATGTGTTATGGTACTTGAGACCACACCATTTCTGTAGGATTATACTGGTAGTGATCAGAGGGAGTCGTACACAGTGCGGTCCAAAAGTTTCTGGACTAAGGCAATAAGAACTTAAAAAAAGAAGGCGGATATTTTTTCGGTTTATTTATTCAAAATAAGATCCATTTGATGCAATGCACTGGTTAGCACGTGTTTCCAACTTCTTCATGGCATTGGAAAAGTCTTCTGCGGGAATCGCTTGTAGCTTGTCTGTCACTACTTTCTGAATCGCCTTAATTGTGTCAAATCTTGCAAACTTTAGCTGCAACTTCACCTTCGGGAACAGGAAATAGTCCGCGGGAGCCAATTCTGGTGAGTATGGGGAGGGGGAGGGTGTTGTAACGTCGCGACTTGTTTTTGTGCTAGAAACTGTCGAATCATTGCTGCCGAATGAGCCGGGGTGTTGCTCTCGCGTCAAGGCATGCGGGACAAATCTGGCGCACAGTCTTCGTTTTCGCAAATCTTCGCTTAAAATCCATAGAACCACTGTTTTCGGGATGCCAAGTGTGTCTACTATTAACCCAGACGTCACTTTTCGATCTTCTTGAACCATTTTGGCGACGGCGGCGATGTTGTTATCGGTTCGACTTGTTGTGGGCCGGCCACTGCGTTCGTCATCCTTCACTGACTCCCTGCCCTTTCGAAACCGTTTGTGTCACTCAAAAATTGTTGTTCGGCTTACCGCTGCATCACCGTAAGCCTTCTGAATCAGCTCCACAGTCTTTGAAGCCGAAATATTGGCTTTACAGCAAAATTTAATCGCTACACGTTGTTCCTCCTTCGTATCCATCTCACGACCTTGACACTGCGCAACAACAATAGCTCGTACGAGACAACCCTTCTTAACAACACCTACCACTACACTAACGCCACTTCGCACCCTTGTCACAAAGGGTCTCTATTACGTAGTTCAACCTCGGTCCGGAAGATGACGTTGGTAGAAAAGCGGTAAAAAATTCAGTCCGGGAACTTTTGGACCGCACTGTGTATAGTCTGATGTCCCTTTCAGTATTCTTAAAGTGAAGAACAGGTGCCTTGGTATTCCATTTTATCCTTGTACACAAGTAACCCCCCAAGGAATTTGTCTTGTGATAGAAATCTGACACAGTTCTAAGTGCACTGTTTTAATGGAAGTCGTCTGAATTTGTTACTTTTTTTTTGGGATATTGATTTTCTTTCTGGCTAACACAGAAACTGGATCTGCCTGAGCATTAGATATCTTTGCATCCCAACAAATCTGTGAAACACTTATCAAGCTCTGTCCATCTTCAGATATGTACTTCTATATGAAACTGTTCATTCTAAAAATTATTTTTCTGGTCTGACTGTGCAGTTCGTTTTATCTGTGGCCACTACTACTTCCAATAGACTACAGAAAGCAGTAATCTCATTGATAACATGAATTTTGCAATGTTGCATCAAAGGAGATATTGAGCTTGAACCATCTTCAACATATTTCTGTGTTTTGTTAATGAAACATAGGTAACATGGCACAAAATACGCTGCAACATATAAAAAACTAAACATGGTCCTTGAACAAATGCATTACCATCATTTTTTGCTATTCCACTATCTTGTCTTCTATTTACTCTTTTTATAATCTCATATATTACCATTGATGAATTTCTAGGTTGATAAAGTAAAAAATATACACAAGTGTTGAGGTTTTCTTTGAAGGTTATATTTGGACCAAAGTTTGCTTTTCTTTTGATCAGGGTACAAGAATCATGGCAGTGAAGATGTCAATTGACATCATGTGGTCTTGTAGGTAGTTACCAGCATTTTGGAGAAATGTATTCCCTCCATCTACATGCAAGACCACGTGGCATTGCAAACCAGTAGACCACAGTCAACAGTAATCATAATGCATTTTAATGAAATTTTCAGAGTACAGATTTCATATTGGTGACAAATTTTTATAGTGAGATTGGAGGAGGATTCACAATATGGAATTTCAAGTTCTTATGGCAGCAGTATCAAGATGGCTGTCTTCTGTGTTGTTGCGCTCTGCCTCCATCATCAAGGTTATGTCATGATGATGGAGGCAGCAAGTATCTGTGAAATGTCAGTAAACTTCTATCAGACTAACGATACAACAACTATCTTCAATTTACACTTTGTTCAGTTCCAAATTTTTCTTGTAATGGTATTATGCTCTTTGCTTGACACAATTTTTATTATCAGGATTACTAAATTCTTGGAATTTGGCCATTGTCTGGTTTTATAAAAGATCACTACTTTTCAGAAACCATTGATTGAGGTTAGCTATTTCTGTCAGACCCAAACGAGTAGGTTCCCTTCTCCCCTGTTTTAACCTGCGGATGGAAGCAGATCCAGCTTCCGAAACGTAGTATTCTTTCAGAAAACCAGATGAAAGACAAAAGTTCAAGAATTTAGTAATCCTGGTTCTAACACAGCATCATCAGTACTCTTTAAATTGAAAATTTGTATTGCTTAGTAGTTTGAAAAGGTGCAATGCAGACAGTAAGCACAATATTTGCTAAGGGTAGAGCTTATAAATTATTCCTTAGAGTATGAAATGCTAAAGGGTCACTTTTTTTTTAGTTTTTTGTACAAATAAATATGCAAGTCATTCCTGTTTTAGTGTTTATTAGTGAAAAAAGTTGTATAAATATTTGAAATATAGAAGTATAGAGTCTATACACAACAGGTTCATAAATAATTGAAAGTGAATGATTCTTTTCTCCACCCACCGGATCCCATTGCCAACAGCCCCAGTTATGCCTCCTTGAACTGGCAGAGTGTCAGTCTCTTGCTAGCATAGGTAGACATGTTGAAGAACGTATGCACATAGCAGTCCTAGCAAGAAAGGTGGCATTAACATCCAATTTTTTGTCTAAGGCACAAGCCTTTAGTTCTACAACATTGGAACATATTTTAACTATAATCACATTCTCTGAATTTATGTCATATTTGAACAATAAACCCTGCTTAGAAATTATATTCATGCAGGCAAATTGTGTTCAGTTTGGCAGTTGGTAGTTTATTATTTGTAGATTTGTTGAACTGAAGGGTTGGTCTTGGACCACATGAAATGCTACTTTACTACCTTGAATGTGATGAACAACACTATCCATGATATCTCACCTAAACCCATAATGTTAACTGTGAAAAAATTATAATTTTTCACAGTGACCCCCCTTATTGAGAATTTCACATTATTGCTATATGCACCAACATTCGTTGTATTACTTGGTTATTTAGGTGCTAGTGAGGATTAAAAATAAACTATTGTAGGAATAGCTACAGTGTTAAGCCCCACTTTTAGCATTTTTAAAGTTTATTAACGAATAATGGTGCAAACAGCCACCAGTTATTTAATTATTAGGTGATAGTGTATAGTTTGGTGTCGCATTTAACTCGGGTAGAGTTAAATTGTGCCCCAAGTCTCTTTGATTGGTCTTCTAGTAGCATAAACAATATGTATACCCAAGTACACTATTACTCAAGTTTATGCACCGGGAAATGTTTGTTACATTACAGTTGCTGGACCATCCAACACTGCTGCAGGTAACATGGCTGTAGGTGTTTCTCATCTTCAGATACATGATCTCAAAGTGTTTAAACAGTATCACATATTCTTCTTGTTTCTGTTTCCTAGCAAGGTTGTGATCCAGGGTATTCAAGCAAGACTCTTCCTTGGCGACAACCATTTCTTTACATAGTAGCAGAAAATGGTGCTGATGTAGATAAGCACAAGAAGGGCACATGTCACACCTAATGCCAGGACCGATGTCTTGGTTGGGCAGGGTTCTACTATTGTAACAGTTTTATCTGCAAATTGGAGGAACACAGTCATTATGAAATGTCTCCACAATTAACAAACATCAGAATATTTATATGTACACCCATCCCTTTATTGACAAAAAAAAATTGTTTGATGAAAACAGAATATTTATATGTACACCCATCCCTCTATTGACAAAAAAAATTTGTTTGATGAAAGCTGTGTTAAGGTGAAAATTCATAAGTCAAAAATAAAATTCCGATTAATTTGAATACAAAATTGGTTGGTTCCCAGCTCCCAGAAAAAATACTCATTATTATTTTGACATATGTCAGACTACACGTAAGTATGTAAAGTAAAAGAATAAAGTTGTCCCACTATACACCATGTAGGCGCTTGTGGGGGAGAGGCAGTATAGCTCCTACTCATTCTTGACCACGGCACTAGATGGGGGTGAGTGGTCAGCATCATGCCCCGGCCACGCTTTACCCCTGGGAAAGAACCTCGGTACCCATTTGATAGGAAGCTGTGTAGTCCCCTGAACTGGTCTGGACACAGAGGCTAGAGGAAAATTTCTCTGCCCCCATCAGGAATCAAACCCTGATCATCCAGTCCATAGATAGTCATTATACTGGTGCTTCCTGATAAGGAAGTACTGAATAAAACAACTGGTAACAAAATTTTGGGACATAAGAAATGTTCGCTTAGTGAAAAAGCTTAATTTATGGCTGTACTGATTTCAAGCAGTGCATAAGCTGCAGCAGTGGGATACAAATGGAAGAATTCAGTACTGTCTTTGGTTAATTCTTCTGTGTCATGTAATCATTAGGATTATGTTTTAAATGGAACATTTTATTTCTGTCAAGTTAATTAATTGTAGCTGATCATGTTGGCTGAATCAGTAACACTGATCTGAATCAAAGTTGGGACACTACATGTTCTGATGTGTTTTATGGCTTTCCTGAACCCTTACATGTAAATACCAGGATAATATCTTCAAATAGACATGAACATTACATCCCCAATTTCTTTTTAGTTAACCACATATGCTTAATTGGTTCTTCGGAGTTGTAGATTTATTATGTCCCTGAGTTTCATAACATATGGTCTTGACTTGTGTGTGCTTGCGAGCCAACATGATCACTGTGTTCCCACTGCTGCAATCTCAGCCAAGCTGTGGAAGGATTATGATAAAAGAATTTTAATGACTCTCAGGATGTTTAAAGTAACTCAAATAATTCACCTTTGCCAAAGTCTGAAGATGAAGCCTCACTCCTCAGGAACTGGCTGTTTTTATCATCACCAAAATCCAGCACTAGAATCTCTTGACTCAGAGTCATGTCATCCTCAGTTTCATCTGAGCTGTGGTTAGATGCCACAGATCTCTTCCTTCTGCCCCAAGATTCAACAGATTCGTGTCCCCATTCGCATACAGCCTGAAACAGTATGTAGTGAATTTGCTGTAGATTGGCTAGCCCTGTAGCAGTGGTTCCCAAACTTTATCACTCAACAGATCTCTTCTTTGGAAATCCAAAATCAAGAAAAAAATACTAAATTTAAATAAATCTGTTGTAATACTCAGTTACTGGAGACATACATAGGCAAATCTACAAAGAGTACTCAGAAGTCAGATTTTCTGATACAGGCAAAAAGAGTGTATTTAATAACTACGATATTTTTTTTAGAGCCATAATATCTGTGAGCAAAGAAAGAAAGCAAGTGGCAGCTAAAGCTAACATTGTAAATTTTTGCACTAGTAAATGGCAATAGAGGTTAAAACTTGCCTAATTGCAGACATGCTTCATTCTGTTGCATATGGCTCTTATTAAAAGTGACAAAGACAGAATGATGTACAACATTTATTTCAGTCTCGTGTACTGAATATTTACCGGTTGACAGGGTCCCAGACAGTACTTAACATTGCACTGGAAAATTACTCCATAAGATTCAGTAAATCGGAAAGCTTCGTATATGGACTGCAGTGCATTCCCATCAGGAGTGAAACTTGGGAAGATGCTTGGATCCACTGGACAACTGCAACAGCAAGAAAGTTATTGTTTCTCCAAAATTAAAAATCTGCTGACAGAATGGGAAATCTGAAATGAAAAGAACACTGTTTGAAGTGATAGCTTACCCTTCATCATCAATAATCTGGAATGTGCTCTTAGAATCCTTTGCCATTGCTACACAGCTTCGTGCAAAAATGCCATAAGGGGCTGAAAGCATAAGAAAAAACAATGTAATTATATATTTATTGTGATTGCTCAGTAGTACATAAATCTTGCCCAAGGGAACAAACGTTACACTTACTGTCATCAGGGATTTCAATGCGGAAGGTAAGCTTGTCTCCAATGCGCACAGTTTCGACCTCACGGCCTCGGCTGTCAACGATGCGAATGCGTGGTGGGGGAGCCTCTGGGGCAGATGTAATACTGATCATCTCAGGATCCCTGTAAAATACAAGATCAGTAAAAATACTGTGCATTGTTACATTGCTATGATTAAGAAACATTAAGTTAAATTTAAAGGGTTACACAACACAAGTGTGCCAAAGCTTTAACATGGGGTCCAGGAACAACTCTCAGACACACATGAAGTCTGAAATTTTGAGTTGTTAATGTTATGTGTAGGAATGTAAGAAGATGAATAATTTAATACATGGGTACAGATTTTGAATATTCTGCATAAACTTTATCACATACAAACTTAACGTTCTGGACTATGATGTTTGTAGTTGCTAACTTACAGCTTTGTAGGATTTGAGGTTTTCACGTCAGTGAGTCTAAAGGTTTCTGTCTTCTGGGTTGTTGTGCCATGTAGTCTACAGTGCAGCAACCAGAAGACAGCAATCTTCAACTTACAAGTAGTATTTCAAAGTTCATATATATGCCTTGCAGTTTATATTGCTGGCAGGAAATTAGGGTGGCCTCCAAAGTCATACAATTCATATTGGCAGACATACACCACAAACAAACAATATCATAATCTCTTTTCTTTCTTTTGTTAAGAAAACAAAATGGGCTAAGAAATAATGCATTTAATTGAAACAAACAAACTGCTAAGGAATTAAAGACTTCAGTGTTAAAATCTGAGTAATCACAAGTCTAAATCAAGAAGTCCTGGGAAACAGATGTATGAACTTTATATTTGGTGTCAGAACATTAATTTTTTAGATATTTTGCTTTTAACAGACATTTCTGGAAAACTGAGATGCCTGGTACCCTAATCATATGTCAGCTCCATCACTGATATTTTCTGGATGTTCTACTAATACCCAAAAATTAATAAAAGCTGTTTAATCTTAATTGAATAGAGATATGTTTAATGACTAGTGTTATTTGTTTGTTTCTTTAATAGGTCTAATTTTTATGCAGGATGAGAGAAAATAAAGTAAATGTACCATGTTTATGTTTCCAGAATAAAAGTAAATGAATGATATTCAGTATGACAGCAAATTTGACGATAACCTTTTAGAATATTGTGCCATGTAGTCTTGTAGAAGCTGACTGACGTTTCAGAAATGCTTCATGTCTACATCAGGGTGATGATCAGGACAAGGCTTTCATCTTCAAGTGTTAACTGATATGTAAGTGTCAGCAATGAGAATTAAGGAACAGACTGTACCTGATGGGCATCATTCCAAAGGTTATGTTCTTGGATGACATGTCATATGTGCACTTCACTTTGTAGATCTTGTCAGCTTTTGTCATGACCACACTGTGGTGTTGTAGCACAACTGTGTTGGTGTACACTCCAGTCTGCCAACATATGGAAACAAACCGGCATCCTTATTATTGGTATTATTTTTTTAGTGGAGGTTTGTGCCTGAAGAACCCTTCATGAACAAGTTAAACCAGTGTTATTATTTACTCTATGAGATAAAATTCCCAGATGCTGGATACTTCAAAGAAGGACAAACTGTTGCTGACAGAAAAAGAACAAATATTTTATCTCCATCATGACATTTTCAATATTTAGCTGACACTGTGGAAGTGAGCTGTGCATTGTGGTCGGTTATTTTTTTCTGAACTAGTGACTTTGAGGAGTTGGGTATGGTAACTGAAAGTTTCCTTGTGACCTGAAAGTCAAAATTTTGTTTTTGTTTGTTTTTCAGCCTATTTTCTATTCACCTCCAGGATATATTTACACTTTTCTGTTGATTGACCAACCCCGATCCCAAGCTTGTGTTTAATTTTTATTGTTCTTGTTTTTTATTATTGGCCCTGGATGTTTCCCCTTCTACTCTTGTCTTGGCCTGTTGCTCATATTGGACTTTGAACTAACCACACAAGTAGGCAGCTGGGATGGCTGGTTGAGTTGGTGTTTTCTTCCAGCCAGGAAGGTGAGATATGTTTTCCAACTTTTGCTTGGATGGTATGTTTTAAATTTGCTTTTTCCTTACAAGATATTCTTACACTTGTTTTTTAGACTGGCCAGCCTCTCCGCTGTTGTCTGTTGTGATTTAAAGTGTTCTGGCTTGTGTTTCATTTTTTGTGCATGTAATCTGTGTATTATTGTTATTACTAGCCCTGGCTGGTACTGCTTGCTAACAGTGTCTAGGCACATTACAAATACACCAAGTTTGGTATTTCTTGGTTGTTACTGTATGAACGTACTGTGTATATTATGGGCCTCTCTTATTTGTATGTTTTATTTAATACATACCTATTGTGTTTTGTCATAATTCTGTTTAATGATTGACTGTTATTTCTTTTTTGAGAATGATCCCAAACAGTTATTGGATATGTAAGAGGATGGAATAATTGGGAGCTGAATTCTTTCCCCACTCTTCTAGTTCAAAAGTTTGCTCAATAAACCAAATATGTGGTATATGTTCTGAAGCACAAAAGTCTGAATTATCTATTCCAGTTTTCATAATTGTTGATCATGCAATGAGGACTAAGTTTTCTGTCTCATCATCTGCTCTACTGCAAGAGTGATTTGAATGCTTTGTAACAGACACTCATAGCTCAATGGAACCACTGAAACATATCCAGACTGTGATTGGTGCTTCTTATATTTGTTTTTGGTCAGTGCAGGCTATTCATATGGGGGGATTTTATAATTGTGTATATGTGAAGAAGTTGTTATAGTAATGGTCTGATATCTATTTATTCCAAGAAAGAATAACATTTCATTACAAATGATTGCCTGTCTGGAGTCCCTAATAAACTGTGCAGTAATTAGTTCTGCAGCTCAAGGCCATAGCATCCACTATTAGCAGGAAGAGTTAAGCTGTGGTGTTAGAACAACAGCTGTCTGACTGTAGATGTAACTGATTCAGGATAAATTCATTAGACTTAAACAGTAACAGTGGATGACAAAGCAGTGAACAATATTGATGAATCTAAGAAGTGTAAGTAGTGTTAGTGGCAGCAGTTTTGAATGGGAAGACATGTAAAAATATAGGGGATAGAAATAAATTTTTCATTGGTGGACTTTGGCTATAGGCTGCAGAAAAGAACAACAAATGACATTCTCAAAATTTTAATTTTTTTTATAATGGTAAAAAAGTCAATCTTTATGTAGAATGATTCATATAATTGAAGGGGTCTGTGTAGTTCAATGTAAGATCCTTATTTTTGTCTCCAAAACTACTGATGTTGGATTAAATTTATGTTTTTTTTTTGTGCTAATGGGGGATGTTGGCCCCTATTTTGAGTTCTTTGAGCAGCAACCCACTAAGATGAGTTCTGTGTTAAAGTAAATCACATCAACACATTCTGAAAGTATTATAGTTCTTATTACATCATCGTCAGAACCCTTCAGAATACATTTCTGGCCTTACCTATAATATTTTAATGAAATTTTATTAAAACTGTTGAAAGAAATAATTTTATTTCAAGCACATATTTCTTATGTTATATTTAATTGAAGCATATATTTGTTCTGAATTTAAAACCTCATAACCTCTGTTCTCAGGTTATTTAATTAATTTAAATTCTCCTGTCATAGCAGGTTAATGTCATAATCTCAAAGTTTCCTAAAAGGGCATTATTCTTATTGTCAGTAATTGAAATAATGTGGCCACTGCATGTAACTCACCACAGACTGAGTGTTGCAATCCTGCCCACTCATTGTCAGGTCAAGTCTGAATAAGTCACTATTCTGGACATCAATGTTGCATGTCTCGGATCGTCCCAAGGCATAAATTCTGCCATTGAAGGGCTTGTTGGTCCGCACCTGAACTGCTATGCGGGTGTCCTTGCAGTTTACAGAAACTATGGAGAAAAGAGAAACATATACATGTATGTATGGAAGCATTGCATGTAAGAATAACAAGAAACGAGAGTGCTAACCAGTTGGATTTCCCATTCAATAGCTCATATACATATTTATTACTGTGTAACTAGTCATGACCTGTGATTTTATTTTTTACATGGAAATTCTTTAGAATTGTGTGTAACATAGTGGTTTTATTGCATGTAAGAGGTTGTGAGTCTAAGACACAGGAAATGGTTATAGATATTTTCTAAATGTTTGTGCAAATATTTTATTGTTTTCATAATTATGGATTTTAACTCTTGTGGTTACTGCCTCAGCTATTACTCTGTATAACTGAGAATTAGTTCATATTAATTTACTATAGAGTCCCAATTATCTGACATTCCATTTTATCCAACATGCCATGTCTCATAAAGTAGATTTTTTTTTCCATTAACACATCAAGTGAAAAGAGAAACAAAGTAGTTGTTTCCATGGAACAAAAACTTGAAGCCTTGCAAAGACTAGATAAAGGGAAAACTATGCAAGAAGTTGCAGAGGAATGTAGTGGTCTGCTGGAGCTTCAAATGAAGGCTTGAAAAAAGAAAGACAAGTTTAATTGCCATTTACACTAGTCTTCTTTACTAGTCTTCCATATTATCTGACATTCATGATTATCTGACCACACTTCAGTCCCTTTTAAGTCAGTTAGTTGGGACTCTACTGTATTAATATTTACAGTTTGAAAATATTTCACAGTTAGTAATGTGTGTCAGCTGTTAAGTCAGGTTATGAGTTGGTTCAAAAACATTATCACATTACATTTATTAAAATAACACATCCAGCATTACTAAATCTCATTTACTTTGAAATATAATAATTCTCATATTTTTAGTATTTCAGCTTACCATCATAACAGGTTCCAGTTTTATCACAGTTGATATCATTGCGAGTTAGATTGTTGATAGATGGATCTTCTGTGTTTTCGAATACCAGAGGTAAGTTTTCATGTGGGTTAGTAACTGTTTCTGAAAAAGGAAAAAATGCAGTTTTGTTGAGAAAGGACACTTTAAATCGCTGTGAACATTTTAATTTGTGTAAATGTATGAAAATAAATGCAGAATTCAATTAATAAACTCCACAATTTTCTTTTTCTTGAACACATTTAAATAAATTCTAGCGCATTTACACATAGTTTCAAAAATTGCCCCTGTTCACTTCATCATGTCTGTCTGTCCCAATGTAATCTTTATATGACAACATAAAATTAGTTTTGCACACAGATGTGACTGTGTGGATGGAATTCCCAGGTTGCCCTGCTTATGATTGTTACCTGGCTAATCCCTGAATAGAGGAATCACCAGTCAGCTGTGTAACCAGGGGGGGATCCTCCATGATGATGCCATGATCCAGCTGGACAGGAACCAGATACCCAACCCACATAAAAGTCAGTAACCCCAGACAACTGATATCAGTGACACCATTGATGATGGTCAAATTCAGTCAAATATGCTAGGATTATTACACCAAGTGCATGTTTCCTAACTTCTTCATTGTAATCTGCAGTCATTTAATTTGTCTAGTACCATAATATAGCTGTTTTAGTACATATGCACCTGTTAGCATTTGCTTAGAGGGACTGGGAAGAACCATGATAAACATTATGACATCTGATATCAGCCATGATTAAAACCAGGTAGCTTCAGAATTCAAGTAAGATCTGTCACTTCTGTGCTAATCTGCTAGTGATGGTCACGTCCTCAACTCCCTCTTTGTAGTTACAGAATCCTAAAGTTTATCACCATCACCACCATAAAAGCTTGCCATTGCACTCTGTCCTGAGCCAGCTGACAATGAGTTTCATTTATATCTTTACCACCTGCTTGACTAAGATTAATTAGTATTATCCTTTACCAGCTTTCATTTTCCAAAGTGGTCCTTTCTGTAATGTTTTCCATTTTAAATTTTGTCTTTAGTTTTTTGTTGCTCAACAAAGAACCGAATTTGTTACCCAGCAGCCCTGAGGATGAGAGCAGATTGTTCTCGAAAAGTTGGCAGAAGATATGGATTATTCACCATTCAGCCACCTGACGTGGCTTATAATCCAAGAGTCTTTCACCAACTTCAGTTGCCATGAAAGCTTCGCTTTATACATTAATAAAGTGTTTGTACTAATGTTATGTTTTTACTCATTTCATTTGTACTTTAAATTTCAGAACACTTAAAAACTTAATTTATGTTTTTTAGTCATAATGAACATATTGCTGTTGTCCATGAAACTTTTTTGCCAGTGCCATGGTAAAAGGGCAAAGTCCTAAAAAATTAAAAAACAAGAAGTAAATTTTGGGAAGTTCTAATAAATTGAATTTACTGCAATTTAAAAATGTATACAATATTTAAACGATTGAAACATGAACTTATGGCTGATGTGCTAGAATTGCAAAAATAAAATACAGGCTCTAAAATAGTACTATATTTAAGTTTTAATTTTTTAACTTAACTCTTTTACTCTGGCACCAGTTAGTACAATAATTAAAACAATGCAGTTCTTGTCATACATACTCTCGCAGAAATTCTCGTAATAATTTCCAACTCGTTCCCCATTATCAATGAGTGGTCGTTCGGCATTGAGGTATGTGCTTGGTCCATCGGGCAGAGTCTTGTGGTCTAAATGGAATAGCTGGCAGTTGTAAGAATTACCAATAGGAGCACCTTGGTAAAGGAATGATCGGCACAGGAACTCATTCTCAATCTCACAGGCAAGACGACAAGCTGCCTCACTGGTCACCTGCCAGTTAATTAATTAGTCAGTTATGTGTGAAGTAACTATGAAAAGTACATTATGTTATGACTAGCCCTTGCTCTGCTGTTCTTTCTCATTCTGGTGTGTGCTGAATGGATCATAATATTTAAGACTGGCAAATCATAATGAATTCTTTTTTGGCTACCAGCTGTGTCAGGTAGTTGAAAGGCAAAATCACCAATGTTTTGAGAGCCATCTGCATCGTCGTCTGAAATCTTGAGTACCCTGAGGATGAGGATGAAGATGGTTCTCAAAACATTGGTGTTTTCGCCTTTCAACTACCTGATGCAGTTGGTTGCCACAGAAAATTTCTTTATACTTAGTCGCCATGAAAGCTCCAGATCATACAATGATGAATCAAGTGAAAGAATTTTCACATGAAAGTTAGTTTAAATTTAGTGTTTTTTTTATAATTTACCAAATAGTCCAGTTTTAATGAAGGACTTAAAACAAATAAATGCAATTAACTTGATCCAGTTTCCAAGATTTTCCACATAAGAATTTCAAAATGAAATTTCCAAATGTGATACATATAATTGTCTTCTATTTTAAGGTATATAATATGTTTTGCTAACTAACTTCAAACTTTACCAAGCACCTTGTAGGTTTGACACATCTGCTAATACTACTGCTATAAATGTAGCATAATCATCATCATGCATGCACGCTTGCTCCATGTGTGACAGCTCAGCAGAACATGTTGCTATGTAAAAAATACAGTGTAGCTGTATTGATTAAAATATAAATATTGTTAAGTTAGAAGTTATACAAGACATGATGCTGAAATATAAGTAATTTCTTTATTTTGATTACTTTGTTCAATTATTTCAATTGAGCTACTACTGAAGTAGAATAATCCTAACCATTTTATACAGTGAAATAATAATAAAAAATAACAATACTTCAGCTTATATAACCTGCTCACAATACAGGAGACTTCCAATTATGAAATGGTGGATTAACCAGTGTCTGTCTGGTTTAAACAAATTAAAAATTAATTTAGGAAAGTTAGAGCATTTAAAAAGAAAGTAGTAAATACAGCAATAAAACATTATTTAATGTATTAGCATAAACCAATTGTCATTAAAACCTGATGTTTGTGACAATAGAATGTTATTACCATCTGTTGGAAACATTTTAAAAATAATAGTTAGTATGTTCTGTATCAAATTGAATATAAAATCCTTTCTGTTTATGTAAATTTTTAAAAGTTTATGTGGTGTATGTCTGTAAATAAACTTGCATATATGTTACATTTGCATGTTTTTCTTTCATTTTTTTTGGATTATCCGTTGTTTTGATAATCCAAAAAAAATTATTTTCCAACCATTCCAGATAATCAGGAGCCTACTGTAACTCTTCAAAGTAGTATATATAGTTAAGAAAGTTAACTTTCAGAATGAGGGAAATTGTTTTTGATTATATTAAAAACACTGTAAGCTTGTACATACCTGCAATTCTTTATCCACATAATAATGCAGACTGGCATACTGAGACACCTTGTCTTCATTAACTCCAATACGAGGTATTTGAAACGGTCTGTTCCCTTTGCAAGCCTGATTAGCTGAAATTTAGAAAATGCAAGTTTGTATATAACTCTCAGATAACTTTTCTGGTGCTCTAGGAAGGTATTTTCTGCTATAGAAAACTGCAGGAGACATTTATATTGAAGCAGTTGATTTACTTATGGCATTCATTTTAGGTTAAGTGTACCTTAGGTCCTTGTATTGCCCTTCCCATTCTGCAATAATAGACATCAGTGAACTAATTCAAAAGTACTGGTTTGTACACAAACCCTTTCCCACCTTAGATTACACAGCTAGCTAGATTATACAGATAGCTAATCTGTATTCTAACCCCTCTGCTCATGTGTTAGTCCTTCTGTGCTTGAACCTTGGACACCAAGTTTACTTATACTTGCACATGCCTTTCTTTGTAATGTACAGTATAACTTCAGTTAGAAAGTGAAGCTAGTTTAATCAATCTTTATTTTATCTAAAACATCAATAATGAAACTATAGGACAATAGTTGGTTCAGTATTGTGGCCGGTGGCGGGCTTTGGTGTTGTTGGTGTTGAACCTGCAGGTTCTGCTACCAGGAAGTTAGTTATAGTACAATAATTAGCCTAATTTATGTTTAACTTAAAGAGTTGAGCAGTTGAACTGGAGGAAAAGGCAGAAAATGCTTGCTTTAACTGTAGTTCAATACATTTTTATTTGTTTTCAGCATTTCATATTTGTAACTATTACTTTGTCTCTAAAAAGTAGGTGCTGCAGGAACCCAGCCTATAATTTCTTCTTCTCCCATACCTTTTCACCATTTCACAGAATTTCTATTTTTATCAATCCACTAACAGCTGATGGCAAATTTTGGGCCCTATTAATAATTATGATATGATTATAGTTTTTTATTGAATGTAAAGTAGATCTAATGTATATATATCATTTGAGACAAAGATTATTCTGTAAGATTATATCTTACCCTTAAGGCAAAGATTCTCAAAGTAGTCAACTCCTGGAGCATCAACAAACTGAATGTATTGTCCGGTAGTGCGCCGGTCTGAATCACTGAGATGACATTGTAGTGTGACATAGTTGTATTCCAGTGAACGGCATGTGAAGCGGTGCTGGAAAATTAATATATTTAATTTGTAAACATATATCATTCCTTTATACATAAAATATGCTTATTAATTTTGCTATTTGTAGGATGTTTTCCAGAAATTAAAGAATTTGTTAAGTTGTAATGTGTTGTTTAAAAAATTTCTTAACAATTTTTGGATCTTAGATCAAAGGCAACATTATTATTATGAAGTCAGTATAACACTCTTCTGCTCCTACAAATATTCTGTTAATGTCATATTTAGTCTCTGTGCTTTATCACCCAACAAAAATTGTTAAGTGGTGTATCATACTCTACTGGTGCACAGACAGTTATATGAGTGAATTCCAGGGATATCAGAAATTTGTATTTCTTAAATTGTAAATGTGTTACATATTATTATTATTATTATCATCATCATCATCGTTGTTGTTATTTTGTTTTGGAGCAGAACTTATTATTTATTACAGATTTTGTCTATGTTAAATATATTGGACATAACCATCAAATTTTTCATCTTGCCTTGTTTATAATTGTTGGTTTGTAAATAATATTTCAATACAATTTGTAGGTATGTTATATTTTTATCATGCCTTTCCCAGATGTCCAGCTCCGGCTCTATTGGTTAATTAATTATCACCGTCAAATCAAATGATACGTACATATTCCATGCAACTGCCATGTTGTTGCTTTACATTCTTTGAAAAATATAACATTTTAGGACCCTATATAAAGTGGCACAAGTGTTTTTCCAACCCCACAAGTCTGTATGTCTGGCATGTTGTTACCAAATGTTCCAAAGTGAAAATTACAATGTTACAGAGGCCTCCAATGGCATAATGTTCATGCCAAATTTTATAGAAAATCTGTTGAAAGCTGGGACACAGATCTTATAAGCTTACATTTTTGCTAAAGTAACAAACGTTGTTAAAAAATCCTTCTGATATTGATAAATCAGTTAATTCTGAATTAACATTATAAAAGCCCTTGAATTATTTTATGATCATGGTATCTTAATTTATGCTTGCTGCAGTGCCATTTAGTATCTTATATGTTCCATTTGCTGTCTAAAAATTTAAAATTAAAATATCAGATTTTTCCAGTTTTTAATATGGGTGGTGAACCTTGGTTTTTCACATCAAGGGAGGAACACAGATTGAGTGTATTTGGGAACAGGGCGCTGAGGGGAATATTTGGACTAGGAAAGCATGAAATGACAGATTGAAGAAAGCTGCATAATGAGGAGCTTCAGAATTCATACTCTTCACCAAATACAATTAGGATGATAAAAATACAGTGGGCATGATGGGTGGGCCATGTAGCATGCATGAACATGATGAGAAATGCATCACATTTCAGTCTAAAGGGAAAATACCACAAGGTGTAGATGGGAGGGCAACATTAAAATGAGTCCTAAGAAGTGTGGCTCAGGATAGGATCTGTTGGCAGAATCTTATGATCATTGTAATGAACCTTTGGGATCCATAAATGGTTAGAATTTCTTGACTATTTGAGTGAATATTAGTTTAAGAAGGACTCTGTTCCATAGAGTTAATTAGGTTTTTCTGTATATCTGTTTTCTCCAACTGAATGCCAAAAATTTGTTGACAAATTGGAATAACAATAAGACACATGTTGATTACATTTTGTTATGTTGCATCCTAAATATATTGTATATTTTTTTATTCTTAACACAAACATTTTATTTCAGTGAGTACTAGGCTAGTTTATGACAGCCATACTTATTCCGGTATGTGTGTGTGTATGTATATACGTGGCTACTTTCAGGGGCATGACATTTAGATTGAGCTTAGTGACACATGGTTCTAAACTGTTTTTGTGTTATCAGCAGAAAATAATGATTCCCACTCCTAGAAATAGGCCTGTATGAATTTTGTAAAGCAGCAGTGAGGCTTCTATTAGCTTGGCCTTTTGACAGTAACTTCTAAGAACACTGATAATTTGGTTCAGAGTTATCAGGGAAGAAAGATACACATACACACACAAACATATTCTGTGTATTCTTTGCAATTCTCATACCTCATTTAAACATGCAGCTAGGCATGCTTCTTTGGTAGATGTGTAAATAAGAGCATTGTCTAAACCTCGAATCATTTTATTGGGAACTCGTTCAAAAGCCCAAGGCCTGAGGCAAACATTATCTGCAACAAGAACATATATGTGAGACAAACCATAGACTGAAACAGTCATGTAAGATGAAATACCCATGTACAGATGGACACAGTGGACATAAAAAACTTTTTGATCATCTCTTCTCCTTATTAATTGATCAGCAAAACTGTTTTACCAACTCCTTCCCTTACCACATAGTACCCAAAGCCTTTTTATTACCTCTTTCCTAATCACATGGTAGCCAAGAATCTTTCATTACCTCTTCCCAACCATGTGGTTGCTGGAACTTATTTTTCACCTCTTCTCCCACTTTGACAACTTCTTTATCAATGGCTCCCCTATTCACTTCTACCTGCAAACACCTTCTATCACTCCCCAACTTCCTCATTATTCCTGTGTTTTATGTCTGGGGGAGGGGGGTCACCTTTTTCCTAAGCCACGTGCAAAAGCTCTTTCCTTGAAAATGGCTGTCTTCTGGGTTGTAGCGCCATGTTTCCCTCAACCATGTTTTTGCTTGCTCCCAGTTAGTTAGTGCCTCATGCCTGTATTCTACCAATAATCACTTCCTTCATATCCCACGTGCTACCTACTGCCTGCTCTATATAAAGCTACCTGTGGCCACCAGTGCACATTCACCCTAAAGATGGCAATTGCAGTGTTCAGTAAAATGCTACAAACTTTTAACATTCAATGCAACTTAACCTCAAAAGCCACAGTTATATATTAAACTCCAGCTACAAAAACCTAAGGACAAGAACTTCTTCTTCCTCTTCTATGGCTCTCTAGAAGAAGAAGAAGAAGAAGTTCTTGTCCTTAGATTTTTGTAGCTGGAGTTTAATATATAACTGTGGCTTTTGAGGTTAAGTTGCATTGAATGTTAAAAGTTTGTAGCATTTTACTGAACACTGCAATTGCCATCTTTAAGCAATTGCAGTGTTCAGTAAAATGGTATAAAATGGTATAAATTAGTTAATCTTTTCATTTCTTTTGGCTAGATTCTTACCCGATCTGATCTGCATCTTGACCATATAATAGAGGTTGACTGATCTTTGTGGTACAGCTGTTGGGTTGTTAGCCGAAGTTTCATTCTGTAGCTGACACAATGTTTCTTGTACTGGAGTCAGTGGATTCACCACAAAACTGCAATGGAGAGTTGAAAGATGACCTAAAGCTAACACCACATATCAAGCTTTCTGCATTAACTTGGAAGGAACACTAAATACTCATACAATAATTATAAACTATGGAATTTCAAGCCGATAATTTATACGTTATGTCAGCATTAGTGAAGGAAGACATTGATCAATCACATGTAACCAAAACATGGCTTACTGAGCTGTAACATAATGGAGCACTTACCCTAAGATTCTTGATTGTATCCATTGCTCTTGCAACAAAATTGCATGATATGAAAATTTAAAATAATTTCTGTATTTATCTATTTATAGAATATATTGCAAGCTGTTGTTGTCAAATAAGTACTTTATCTACTACGATCTACTTTATCTATTACTATGACAGGTGAAGTCTGCCAGTCAGCATTGATACTTAAATTTATTTAATTCTATTTAAATAATAAGATATATTTCAGTTGTAATGAATTTGTTCCCTAATATTCATTTAATTACTATGAAATTATGCATGTTAATTTTTATTTTTTAAATACTTCCACTACAAATGTATTTAGTATTTGAGTAATTGTTTATGATAATGAATTTTTCTCAGGCTACCAGCCATGTCCGGTGGTTCAATGGAGAAAACAGCAGCGTACAAAACCAACATTCAGGGTACTGTGAGGACAAGGACGAAGACGGTTCTCGAAACGTTGGTGTTTTCTGCATTGACCCACCTTACATGGCTGATAGCCCAAGAATAATTCATCATACTTTGCCACTATGAAAGCTTCAGATCATACAATTGTTTATGATGCTTGAGTAATGCAATTAAAAGTATTAATTTTAAATGTATGATTTGAGGTTTTCACAGCGGTGAGTATGAAGATTTCTGTCATCTGGGTTGTTGCGCTGTGTAGTCTGGTAGATGTCAACCAACGTTTCAGAGAACATACTGCCTCCATCATCAGGGCGATGAGTATGAAGATTTCTGTCTTCTGGGTTGTTACGCTGTGTAGTCTGGCCGATGTTAACCAACATATCTGAGGTAATACTGCCTCCATCATCAGGGCGATGAGTATGAAGATTTCTGTCTTCTGGGTTGTTGCGCTGTGTAGTCTGGTAGATGT